TTTCGCAGAAGATGAGTTTGGGAAGGCGAGGTGGTGGTGTTGCTTGGAGGTGACTCGGCACTCGGGCGTTTAGCACCGCGGACCTGGGTCCAAGAATCCTCGCCGCCGGACTCAGTGGCCATGTCCGCGGGGCAAGCAAGCGAGCAAGCGAGCGGACACGGTGGGAGCGAGGGCGCCGCCAAAACGCGGGCCGCAAGGAGCGGGGTTGCAGATTTTGTCTGACAACGTGGTTCACGCCAAGATGTCAGAAAAAAAAAAAAGAGTCGCTCAATCCCGAGGATAGGGAAAGTGCAACTCGTGCCCGACCGCAGGTGCCACAACAAAGGAAAACAACAGTAGTCACAAGCTTATTGCCCCAGGGCAGCTGCCCAGGCATCGTGGGGACCGCGTCACACGCGGTGTTTACTCATGTGACTCCCACGAGGAGGATCAGGCCCAGGGGGTCCAAGTGTAGGTGTCAATGTGTGAGGTCGTCGCAGCTATGGAATACCAATAGGAAGACCCATAGCGACCGATGCTGAGTGTGTGCGAAAGCAGTGGGAGTGCTCAAATGCGTGGAAGCACTTATTTGACGCTAACAATTGATTAATTTGTTGTGTGAAGCTTAGAGCTGGAATAATAAATTAGGTGTTTGAACCTCAGAGCTGAAAGCAAAGCTGTGCAACTCCAACATAAAAGGCACTACGGCACGCAAAACAACGCAAGAGAACAACATACAGTCATTTCAAACACAAGACACCAAAAACGGCAAACAACCATCACAAGTACAAGCCATCACAGCACAATCACAACAACAACACCACGGCATCCCCTGATAAAATCTGCAACCCCGCTCTTTGCGGCCCGCGTTTTGGCGGCGCCCTCGCTCCCACCGTGTCCGCTCGCTCGCTCGCTTGCTTGCCCCGCGGACATGGCCACTGAGTCCGGCGGCGAGGATTCTTGGACCCAGGTCCGCGGTGCTAAGCGCCCGAGTGCCGAATCACCTCCAAGCAACGCAACCACCTCGCCTTCCCAAACTCATCGTTCTGCAAAACACACGAAACATGGCAGCGCTCGCCACGACCGTAACCATGTTTTCCCTGACCCCATGACCACCCCGCTTCGCCCTCACGCCCGCCACTCTGTCCCTACCGCCCGTGCCTCGTCTCATGTGCCCTCGACGTCCCCCGCTGCCGGTGCGACCGAGTCTTCGGCACGTGCCGTCGTGCCCGCGGCCGAGCCAGTGACCAGGACGTCAAACGGCGGCGGGGAGCAACATCCCATCATCGGAAACACTTCCAATGCTTCTCCCCGCACCCCTCGCACGCCATCCAGCCCTCGCTCCTTTGCTCAAGTTGCTGCGGCAATGCCTGCCGCCGCCACTGCCACATCTTCGGCCCCTATGACCGAGGATTTGTCAGCATCGGTGCCCTCTGAGCCAAATGGCAGCGGGGAGCAACAACCCTCGCCCGAGTCCACAGGGCAGACACATCATTCGATTCCTAACACACCATCGGATTTCTTGACCATGTCTT